CTACCTGATGAGGAAGAAGCTGATGAGGCTTCATCTGTCTTGCTGAATTCCTCTGCCTCATTGCTGGTTTCCTCTCTGGATATGCTCATGGCTGTCATCTGATGGGTCACAGGAGTCTGAGCACTGGTAGCATGTGCAGCAGACAAACAAAAAGAAAACACAAGTATTTTGATGGACAGTTATGTCAGAGAAACCTTTAGCCCATAAAGTTTATTTCCTTATGTTCAAAAGTAGGTCAGGAGCACAGCAGGTCAATTCCCCTTGAGATCTGGGATCAAAGTTCTTTATAGACATAAATGGAATGAATCTGTGATGATCTCAGTTTCCTTTTCCACCCAATTATATCTCAAAGCCAAGGCAAGAACCCATCCAAACAAGTCCAGGGGCAGAGAAACAGAGTTATGATTCAGAGCTGTAATGTGATGGTAGAGCTCAGTGCAGCTCTGTCCTCCTTCCCATCAAACAGGCCCAAGGTCTCTAATCCTGCTGTCACAGCTTCCAGACTGGATCATCAGCAGGTGCTTTCACTTAGAATCACAGGACATTCTGAGTTGATGATCATCATGATATTTCCAAGCCCAACGCTTGGCCCTGCACAGGAAAACCCAAAAAATCCCACTGCTTGGGACTGAGCAGCAATTGAATAGAGCAAGGGACAAACAAGGTGCACTGGCTCCAGGAGAACCGAGATGCCACTTAATTTACTACCAACCCTCTGGTACCTCACCCTACACATCAGACAGCAGCAGGGACATCTCAGTCTCAAACAAACCAGAGCCACAATGAAGTGTTTGACCCAGCCTGTTTACAGGCTGACCACGTAAAGGATGATGGACTGTCCCTTGTGTCCCAGAGCTGGATTTTAGCAGGGTTTAGATCCCCCACCACCTCCAGACTCTGCCCCTACCTGGCTTTCGCATCCTCAGGTGTGGAGTCTCCCTCCGCATGCTGTCCTGCGATCGCCTCAGATGCCATGGGGCTGCTGCTGGGACCACTGGGAGCTGTGAGACAAGAGCAGGCTTGGTCAAGCCTCTGAGAAGTATCAGCAAGTTCCCTCGGGTGCTTGAGAGCCAAGGAGAAAACAAAACAAGCACTTCCAGCAAGCTTTACGCTCCTGTTCCCTACTGGAGCTGGGAGGGCACACCCCTATTGGGATCACTCCCATATCCCTAATCCTACACTCTCCTCTCCAAATTTGTTCATGGGACTCTGTGGGACACCAGGGCTCTCTGTTTCTTGAACCCAATGGCACTTTGTAACTTCTCCAAGGTGTAAGAAGCAGATCCTCACCTGCAGCATCAACAGACACATGTGGGTTTGTGTCGGAGGATCTAAGCTGGGGTCTTAGCAAAACCCTTTATCAGGAAAAGTCATGTTCCTGAGCACATTTGTGTGGGTGACTCAAGGGAAGCCACGATTACCCTCAGGAATAAATTGTGGAAGAACTCTCAGAGGCATTTCTCACTGTGTACATGGGGCATCTGCACAAACCCCCAGCAAAATAAACCCCTGCTCAAGTTGCAGGGAGCATCCTTCCCCTGCTCCCATCCCAACTGCAGGAAACAAACTTTGTAAGCCATGGCTTTTAGATATCACACTGTTAAGATAAGAATATTATACAAATAGGCCAAATAAAATTGTATTGTGGGGCTTTGTCATGGTTCCCAGCAGTCAGCACCTAATCAGGGAGCAGGAAATAGCTGAAAGCTGGAATCACCATCAGCACATGTGAAATTTTACAGCTTACTGGAAGATGGGGCTTCACAAACTGGTGAGACTGGGAAGAAAGCAAGAGCTCCTGACAGGGACTAGAAGTGCTCAAGGGCTTGGGTCCTTGATTTAGAGCCTTGGGTATCCATGGAAAGAGAAAGACTATTTTTCTAGGAGGGAGTAAATGGTGGCCAGGTACCAGCACCATGCTCTATCGCAGTTGCTGAACAGTTTGTATCCAGACACCCATTTAAGACAGATTTCCAGAAAAAAATCCTCTACCTGGAGGGCTTATCCGGTCACTGCTCTGCTGCCTCTGCAGGAACTCCTTATAGCACACGGAGCACATCCCGTTGGTCCGGGGGCTGCCATAGAACCCACAGCCCGTGGTACACAGCAGAGGCACCTGCGTCTGGTTCGTCTCCTGAGCCATCCTCACCCCCTCCGAGGCACGGAGCTACAACAGGAATCAAAAACAAACCCGGGACAGCTGTGAGGGCCAGAGTGCTCGGGCATTGTGTGCTGCAGCTGATCAGGAAGGAGCACAAAGGATCCCAAGAGAGCCTGGTTCCTGCACATGCACAACAAGACTCCTTGAGCACTCGGGGCTCCTAAAATCAGTGTCCTGGGGCCCTAAGCCACCCAGAGCTCGGCAGCCAGGAGCTGCCCAGAGCCA